TGAGATGTACATCGATACACAAATATCAAATGAATAAAGTTCATTCTGACGCGGTCTGAGAAATAATGGATGAATACGGCGTTAATAACCAGGCCCAGGCCATAGCACGAATGCAATTCTAAGGTCGGCCTCTCGATGATGCGTGGAAGACAATAATATAAAAATATCCAAAAACAACAATATTATCTTTGGCTGATGCTGGGCTGGGCACCTTGGCACCACCCTCAGTCAATGAAACCACAAATTCGACTCCACTCCTTACACGACCACTAGATCGGGGACGGTCAAGGATTCCGATTCTTCTGCCAATAATAAAAAAGCACGGACGGGAAACTCAGGAGGTGACAATGTCATGATGTTATAGATGATTAACGAAAGTGTTTCAACAAAGCTTCAGGCAATCCTTCGCATTATTACGGATAAAGGTCATGGGTACTATGGTAATCCGAACATCGGCTTTCATTCAAGCGTTCATTCCCCGAGACAAAGTTAGGTCTTCTGTTTTTATGGTCCACCAATATAGCGTCGGCCAGTACCGATAAGTCCTTGCTATCTCGGCAAAAAGCGTTTGAGTCTGGAGGAGGTGTCTTTGACTTCCTTGGCCGCAAGGGAGAAAAAAGCACATCAGCGAGCAGTTAATTATTGCAGTCGTTATGCTGGTCGGGATCTAACAAAAATCACTGATAAGGAGTTACAGCTTACAGAACGAACCTGAAGTTTGTGAGGAAATGTCACGACTCATCTTTAAGGGAATAGAAGGATCCCCACTTACAGAGCAGCTGTGAAGCCTGTCGAGACTCCTAAAAAGCAACGACTGTGGGAAGCTCCTGTTCATGTGAAAAGGTATTTCGAAGAAGGCAGAACCTAAGCTGTCTATTAAGATGGCTGCAATGGCCTCAGATAAAGAAAGACACGGCCACAATGAAGTCTCCCGAACCACAGAGTCTGCGGGGAAGAAGACCAAGTCGAAGTCTACCTTTAATGCTCCAAACGCAGCAGTGGCTTCGCCATCTCCATCTACTGTACGCTGTCCAAGGCGAAGGCACAGGAGAGCATGGCAAAGTTGGACAAAAAACACACCACCTGCGGATGCGCCAACTTCGTCAAAGGGAGTGGCCTCAAAAACGAATAAAGTTCCGTCGCAGCCAGTGATACCTACTCCAACGGTGTTGAAGATGAAGACACAAAATGGTAAAGTCTGCGGAAGCGCCCATTTCGTCAAAGGGTGCAGCCCCAAAGTCGACAAAATTCCACTCGCAGCCAGTGGCGGCGAAGAGAACGAATCGCGCAGGCGATACAACCGTCCGTCTCGTATGGTTTGGTTGCGGGGAAAAAGAAATACATGGATGGGCAAACGAAAGTTTAACCAGCCGGTATCTCTTCGCAGAAACCTTGAGACCCAAAGCCGAAGCAGCTTCAAAGGCGACTAAATTCACCTCGCAGCCAGTGGCGGTGAAAAGAATGAGGTCAACTGAGTAGCAGCAACCGGCGAAGCGGCGAAGAAAAAGGTGATGGCGCAGGCGATACAACTGTCCGTCTCGTACGGTTCGGTTGCGGCGAAAAAGGACAGTGGGAAGCACATCGATGGGGAAAAGAAAGTTGAACCAGCCGGTATCTTTTCGCAGAAACTTTGGGACCCAAAGCCGAAAAAGGATTAACCAGCTGTTCAATGGATGTCACCGGAGGATCTGAGAGTAGCGGTCAATGATCAGGCTGATCTCAATGGCTTCAACAGCAAAGATCATTGCCTGCCGATTGACTGGAAATTCTGGGAAGCCAACTCTTAAATGCCATACAAGAAAGAGGAGTCCCAAAATTTGTTTTAAAATCGCATCAGATAGATAGATATCCATAAAGGCTTACAAAGCTCAACGTTTAATTGGGTTTGAGATGAACTATGTCGCCTTTCTTTTGGTACCTTTCCCACAGACATCATATTGTGTTCACATTTGTTTATTTTCCATTCGCTAACTATTTGCATTTTGTTTTGCTTTCCATACGAAATCACTTTCTAAAAACCTTCAAACATTATTATCTCCCCCTTCCATCCATCATACTAGACTTACAACACTGCAACGTCGCCAATTGGAGGGCTGCTTGTGTCGCGTACCCAAACATTTCTACAATAAAATATGGGAAATTCTAATGCGAACACCCTTGGGCATAACAACACAAGGTCACTTGTTGCCAGCCACACCGACCTTAATCAATATGAGTCGAGGCGAATTGAATTTCTCACTTTTGGTTGAGGAGACCTTGATATGCATTGAGAAACCTGAAAGGCGACAAATTACCGTGGAATTATTGTGTATTATCGCAACAATTCTAAATAGGTAAGAGGATGTAACATTTTTTATTGCCTGGGGAATTATTTGACTAATCTTTGTTGTTTTCAAAGAAATCCTGAATTACATTTTAAACAAGCTTTGGATTTGGATGAAATTCTAATGGAGGCATTCTTAATGTATTGCAAGGTATTTTAATGTTTTTACTTAAAATTAAATGGGTTTAATGATATACTTAATTTTGTTATAGGACAACAATATCCATGACCACCACAACGATATGACACCATTCTATTCATTGATCTATAATGTAACCACCGGCTATTTAGCCCGAGCTGCTGTTAACAAAGTCTTACAAGGCGGTGCCTTTTCGACGCAAGATGAAGATTTTAATGGCGATAATTTACATGATGAAACCTGCAAAGTTTCTTAGGTTTTAGGAGACTATATTTTTGGAATTTGTTTTGTTTACTGAGACTCCCACTCGTCGACCAATTGTTGCCACGTTTTTCGTGTGTTTTTCTTCCAAACAATTTGGCTTTACACCTTATTAGTTTTCTTTGTTTATGTAAGCCATAAATTGTTTTCTTTGTTTTTCCTTTATTATTTTTTTTACATGACAAAAGTGCTCTCCTGTTTTTATTGTTATTTATAGTTTTATAATTTAATTTTTCAAAAATTATTTTAATTTTATTCTAGAAATATAGTTCCTTTTATGTTTATAAGATTATAGACTATTGTCCAAAATTATTAACAATGTACTCGAAAGAATTTATATTTAAAAAAAGCACAAAATTTTATTGCATATGTATATAAGTATATTGTTCTATACATGTCTTTAACTTTTTTCAAAATACATAAAAGTTTGTGAATTTTACAAAAAAAGAGAAATTCTTTGAATATTTTTTTGTAGATTATAAGTTATGTCACAATTGTAAAAGTAGAATTTCTGTTTTATGGAAACAATGCCTATATAAGGTCGGACAAAAAGGCTACTTTTTACAACATTGTTCTGTTCCAGTGCCTGCAAGAATTTATTAGTTTTGCAATTTTTTGATATCATACAGAGACAGTCGGTTATCGTAGTAAAAACTTATACATTCTTGCAATTCTGAAGCAGACCAAATTTGATGATAGTAGTATTGCATTATTTTAATTTCAAATCACAGCATATTTAGTAGAAAGATATGCTTATTGGCAGACCTTATATATGCCTTGTAAGAAAATACGAAATGCAAAAAATATGTTCTTTATTTAATTATTTTACATTTTCACATAACAAGAATTGAGATCCTATAATTGGCTCGGCGGTGCAGCGAATTAAATTTTTACAACATGTCAAAAGAACTTATTTATATGGACTCATATGAAAAGTATATGTGTTCAACCAGCAGACAAGGCTGCCTCAATTCAAAAAAGGAAAGAAATCCTCTAATATACAGGGTGAGGTAAAAAAACTGCAACAAAGTCAAACACCATAACTTTTACATTTTTTTTTAATTTTTTTGAATGAAAGCAAAAAATGTCAGGAATAGAAATTTTTTAGCAGGAATTATGGATTTCAAACGGCCAATGAAGCCGTCACACGCTGTCCGAATGTTGTTCTGCAGTATTTTTTGCCTATTCCAGGCGAAGCGCTTGCTTGAGGTGTTCGAAACTTTGGTATTTTTCAGTGCCAACTTTGCTTTCCAAAATATACCAGACACAATAGGATTGGTATCCGGAGATTTTAGTGGTCATTGAGCGCTGGAAATGAAGCGAGGAACCTCATTTTCTAACCATTCTTGGGTGGTGCGTGCGATGATGCTGAGTTCTGTTGGAATGTCCGAAGACGGTCAGAATGTTTGCGTGCCCATGGCTTTAATATACCCTTCATAATATTTTCGCATTTATTCTGATGCCAAGGTCGATTAATACGAGCGAAGAGCGACCATCGGCTGTTATGGCGGCCCACACCATCACCATGGCGACCAAGCCGCTTGAGTTCTGGTGGCCAACCGAAAATGCACATTCTCAGCTAAACAACTAAACATGATCATTTTGTTTGTTTACAAACTGCTGGACAACGAATGTTTTCTCATCGGAGAACTCCAAATTCGGCAGTTCACCACTTTCGGCCAAGCGAAGCAACTCTATAGCTCTTTTGAGTTTATTTTTTTACTGTTGCGATGTAAGTTCAATGGCTTTAGCCCGAGCTCATTTTTCAATATTTGCCGAATGGAATATTGCGATATGTTCAGATCACGAGCCATTTTTCGGTCACTGCGACGCGGGTTTCGATCAATTCGCTTCTATACTTTTCGAACCATTTCTGCTGATGATGCTGTTTTCTTCCGTCCACTTCCTTGACTTCGGGCTACGTTACCAGTATCACGGTAACGAGACACAAAATATTTATTCACATTAAAATGCTGGAGTGCCAAAATGCTTTTGTACGCTTGTAAACAATATAATGAGCTGTCACTGGAATAATTTTAACAGCTGTCGGACGAGTGGGTTTGAAATGACAGCAGTCTGAAGTTGATTGCAGGTAAGAAATCCCCAAATATATTTCTCAAAATGACTTTGAAAATATTTAATTCAAAATTCACACTCTTAATCTTATTATGAAAAATTAATATTTATTTGTTAAAAAAAACTTGTTATAATATTTAACATAAATATTGTTTTTATTATTATAAACAAGTTTAATATTATTGTATTCAATTGATTTGTTTAAATAAGTCTTGATGATCCCATATTCCTGTTGTAGACAACTTTTTGTCCCCGATCATTTCTATAGTTGCCGGCCCGCTTAACTCTTACCACAGCATACATTTTAGGTGATGTACTAGGGTATAACATATCCCAATTCGACAAGGGACAATCCAATATATGTACATTCGGTTGTCGGCGATGTGTTGATTTTTTATTCGAACTGATTCTAGCGCCGCTAACTCCGCCGCTGCGCATATCGATTTGATACGGAGCATTGACCGTATACCGTACACTCTTTGAAACACCCATACTTTGTATGCGATTATAACCCGAACATCCTGGCATTAGATGTTTCAACTTTGAGGATAAACGTTCCACTTCGTTGGTCATCCATTTTTGCAGTGTTTTATTGACCATGATGTGGTAGTAGTAAGTTATGTGTTCTACTTGTTTTTTAGTGTCTTATTTTGTCAAACACCACCAACGACGACGTTTTATTGAGTACTGAAAATATCTAATCATTGGCAAACTTGTGTCCATTCTGTTGTCATCGAGTTGTAGCATAGACAAATTAGGTATAGACTAAAAAGTTGTCTCATCTGTTATCTTCGAAAAAAGTGCTTCAATAGATGTCGTTCATGCTGTGAGAGAGGTTCAATAGACTCACTCAATTCTCTCAAACTACAAAATATTGAATATTTTTATGATTCTTTATTATTTATCAATTAAAAACGAAATAGTAACTTTGTTTACTTTTACATTATCCAAATATGTCGTGAAATATAAAAATATAGAATTTAAATAGCAGAAAAGTGAATAAATTGTTTTCGAAGTCGAGTGACTTCACTAGCCCTGAGTGACTTAACTGGCCCAAGATCAACAATAGTGACATCTGCCGGAAGGGAAAATTTTACAACTTTTTAGTCTATACCTTCATTTGTCTATGGTTGTAGTTGTTATCATAAACGCAACACAACGTAATCACTTGTTCTACATGGAAGGGCAACCTAGATTGCCTTCAAATCGAAATATGGAAAAAAATCCATAAGATGCTTATGTTGTGTTATTCCGGCAAACATGTAGATTGTCTAGAGAAGGGTGTTTTTTATTGGTTTCTAGAGGAGGGGTTTTATTGGTTTCCAACCAACAACATAAGAAGGTGTAGGAAAACAATGCCAAAGAGGGCAGGAGAATTAAAGAAATCAATTGGATAAAGTCATGCGAGGTTGGAAATTTCTTTAAAAAGTTCATATGTGAGGAAGACAAGGAGTCTAAAGAAATTTCCCTCTGATGATTTAAAATGAGGCCAGAAAAATTCTTTAAAGACCCACGATTGAAAATGTCAAATGAGACGCTTTTGAGGATGTCTTTCAATTTCTTTAAAAGAAGGCTAGAAAATTTCTTTAAAAATCCACAGTTGAGGTTGTTAAAGGAAATTGAAATTTTTCTTAAAAAATCCGCATTTGAGGATGTAGAAGTAGACTAGAAAATTTCTTTAAAAATTCATTAAAAAATGTCGAATGAGGATGTCGAAGTAGGCTAGAAATTTCTTTAAAAAATCTAGGTTAGAGGATGTCAAAGGAGACTAGAAAAATTTGTTAAAAATCCACATTTGAGGATATCAAACTAGAATAGAAAAATCTTTAAAAATCCATGTTAAGGGTTGTCGAAGTAGGCTTTAAAAATTCCTATTTGAGGATGTCGAAGTAGACTTCAAAATTTCTTTAAAAAATCCTATTTCTGGGTACTGAAGTAGACCAGAAAATTTTTTTTAAAAAATTTATGCTTAGAGATGCCGAAGTAGTCTTTAAAAATTCTTGTTTGAGGATGTCAAAGTAGGCTTTAAAAATTCTTGTTTGAGGATGTCGAAGTAGACCAGAAAATTTATTTAAAAAAGTAGACCAAAAATTTTCTTTAAAAAAGTAGACCAGAATTTTTTTTTAAAAAGTAGATCAGAAAATTTATTTAAAAAAGTAGACAAGAAAATTTTTTTAAAAAGTTCCTATTTGAGGTTGTCGTAGAAGACCAGAAAATTTTTTTTAAAAAAATCCTATTTGAGGTTGTCGAAGTAGACCAGAAAATATCTTTAAAAATCCACGTTTGAAGATGTCAATATAGACCAGAAAATATCTTTAAAAAATCCACGTTTGAAGATGTCAATATAGACCAGAAAATATCTTTAAATAATCCACGTTTGAAGATGTCAATATAGACCAGAAAATTTCTTTAAAAAAAAACACACTTGAGGACATGGTACAATGATATCAAGGTAGGGCTAAGATACCATATGATTTCAATTTTTTTATTTTCTTGGCTTAATATGTCATCTTTTTTTGTTTATGTATGTGTTTTCTTTGCAATAACAAAAAAATTGTTCAGAAAACATTCAAATTCGGATGTTTTCAAAATGTTTATTTCATCGTATGCATCGACAAAATTTAGAGTTTTTGTAGCGAAATAATCCTTTAGAGATATATAGAACCTGGTTTTGAAAAGAAGTTTTGACCTTCCCTTCAGTTTTCGCGGTTTTCAATTATTTATTCAAAATAAATGCAACAAGTTGTTTGATTTTGTTATTGTTTTGATACTATTTCTGACATTACAAGCCTAACAGGTAGACCTCTATACTTGCAATTTTTTCAAAGTTGACCTACCTTCTCTTCATTGTACCATGCTTGAGGATGTCGAAGTAGGCTAAAAAAATTATTTAAAAAAACACACTTGAGGATGTTGGTCTCGACGAGGCGGCACTGGCGCCCCTAAACTATCCAGTCAACGGCCTGGTCCACCGCAACGGACCCCCTAATGCTGGGGTGTTACGTAAACCGTGCCCATCAGTATTCCAAGGTTTGCAGTCAGGGTACCGACTGTATTAGAACGGTTGCCTCGTCGATACCTGGGCGCCTCGACGAGTAACAGGCTTAGCTGCCAAGTCCTTACCATGATATGGAGGCTATGTCATGGCGGACCTCGTCACCTCCAATGTCCCGATAACCTATGGAGAAAAAAACTAAAGCAACAACAAAAACACAAACACTAACCGACAACCATTCAACCACCTCTTCGGAGGTGTCGACCCAGGACATGGCCATGGACAAGATTTTAACTTCTGGCGGGGACGTGACTCTGGAAACGTACAGAGACGTAGTATGTGAAAGCATACAGCGACAGAGTGAACAGCTGTCCGCCCTTCTAGAGAAGACCACTCTAAGGCTCAGCCAAGAGAGTGTGCCCTCCGGTTTTGGGAATGACTCACCCCTCTCCGATGAGGAACTTGACGTCACCGTCATACCCTCATCTTTGAGGAGTGAGTCAGCTTCAAAAACTATAGAGAGCACTCAATCTGCTGCCATGGGGGGGTCAACTCTTGTGGAAGGGGTTACATCGGTACCTACCGATGCGACCAACCTCCGGATCGAGGATGGCGTCGTGGAAAGGGACACTGATGTTCCAACCAACCGCGATGCCTCCGGATCGAAGGAGGTAAAAATAAGGAAGGGTTACAAACGGTCGGTGAGGTACTGTAAGAGCTTCATCGGTCGCGAACCCTTACAAATTACAGAGAGGGAAAAAGCCCTGATTAGGGTGAACATGAAGGCAATAAGGAAGTTCGAGAAGAACCATCCGGAAGTGCCTAAATGTACACTTGAAAAGGACCTTGCCTCTCTCTTTACAGCCCCCACTAACAAGGTAAATCCGTCTGAGGATAAGCCAACTAGTGGGGCTGGGGTGAAGGGCAACACCTCTCCCGGCGGTGGAAAGACAGCTTCGGCTGTTGCACCACCAACGGAATCAAGTGTAGCCCCCACCACTTCTAACTCAGGAAAACGGAGGAACAAAAGGAAGGACGCCCCTAACGGAAATTCTGCCCTGGTGGAACCAAAGGAGGCCAAATCCTCTTCTCGGGTAACGATGAAGAGAGGACGGTCAACGGAGGAACCACATCCCGAGGCAAAGAAACCGCTAACGGGCAAACTTCCTCCTCCGCCAACTGCGGCTTCTACGCCAGTAACTGTAGCTGGTAGGGAGGTAGTGGCAAGGCCGGTGCAAGCAGCCTCAGTGGACCCTAGGTCTGCTAATGCGAAGCCTGCTACCACCAACCCACAACCTTCAAGCCAGACATCAAGAAAGAGGAAACACTCCCAAACCCTGTACCCGGACAATCTCCGTGTAGCGGTCATCGACCGAGCTGAGCCGGAAGGCAAAATCAGCGAAAGTCGGTGGCTTCTCATTGAGGACCGTCTGAGGGAACAGGTTTTCCTGGGGGAGGATCCTTCCAAGTTACAGTTTGGCAGTGCTACCGTTTACAAGGGAGTGAAGGTCATCTGCTGCGAAAATGAGGAGTCAAAGAACTTCCTCGTGACCGCAGTAGCTGGCCTTCAGGAACTTTGGGATGGAAGTGCACTTGCTGCTGTATCCCTGAAGGATATCCCCTGCAGGAGGATTTTGACAGCATGGGTGCCGCCGCCCTCTGTGGACCCGGCACGCGTGCTGATAATATTGGGGAAGCAGAATCCCAATCTCTGCACGGACGGCTGGCGCTTAGTTGGCTCAAGTACGGAGGGAGGGGGCCTGGTCATAAAGGTTTCTGTTGATACTGCTGGCCAGGAATACCTTCAGGCTCGTGGAGGGAAGTTGCACTTCGGCACAGGATGGATTGGGTTCCGTCTAACGCCGTCGTCGCAGTAGGAGAAACGAAGCCACAGCTGCTTAACATTGTGCAGATTAACCTGCATCACTGCAAGGCAGCTGGGGCTGAGCTTCTCCTATCCCTCTCCAAGCTTGAAGTTGACATAGCCCTGGTCCAGGAACCTTACATTTTTAAGAATAAGGTAACTGGGCTAGGGAGTGAGCGGTACATCACCTATGCCACCTCCAATGGGGAAAAGGTTAGAACGTGTATCGTCGCAAAGAAAAACTTAAACTTAATCTTCCTTAACAATTTCAGCGGAGGAGACGTCACGGCGGTCAGACTGGAGACCAGGACGGGCAAAATACTATTCCTCGTCTCCCTGTACCTTCCCTTCGAGCACCCCGACCCACCAGGCCAAGTGGTAGAGGAGCTGGCCTCAGTACTGGGTGGAAAAGGCGGACTCATCATTGGATGTGATGCAAACGCTCACCACTCTCAATGGAGCAGTAGTAACACCAATGCCAGAGGTGAGTACATTTTTGATTTTATCTTATCTCATAATCTCAAAATCTGTAACCGGGGAAAGGAGGCGACTTTTTGCATTAAGAATAGAGAGGAGGTCATAGATCTCACTCTCACTAACATGGATGAATCACTTATACTGAACTGGAAAGTTTCGACTGAGTGTTCCTTCTCGGACCACCGGAAAATAACATTCCAAATTTCGGTAGAGGGATTGAATCAAAAACCGCATAGGAACCCGAGAAGGGCTCGATGGAATCAA